AAGTATGTAATTATTTACAATGTATTTTTTTAAACAATTATTTGTTTTTTTCTTTACACTGATTGATTTGTGTTATTATTCTGTACATAAAAGTATTACGGTAAGATTATCGAAAACTAAATATTTTACGATATATTTTATTTTTTATATCAATATATGTCAGATTAAAATATAAAATAACTCAAAAAGTACTTAATGAAAGAATACTTTATTATAGTGTTTTGAAAAGCTCTCGAGGTAAGCTATAAGAATATGTAATAAAAAATGGGGAGTTCCATTTAAGAAAACATCGACCACATTGATCTCACCTTGAAAAGACCACTTAAGGTTAAATCCATATTTTTATCATGTGGCCCCCTCGAAACCATGCAACTTTTGTCTGAAACATTTTTTGATGTCTCACTTCGTTTCCGAAAAATATGCCCGCGTCACTATAAATGCCGCACCTTGTATATATATATCGCGATAATAGGTCTCAAAGCGCATATTTCGCGTAATTTATTCATTTAATCAAGAAATGGAAGTGACAGAAATCAATGTTTTATAACTTATTATTTATGTTGTGATGTCTCTCTCTCTCTCTTTCTCTCTCTCTCTCTCTCTCTTTATAAACAATAATTATTTCTTTAAAAATACTTAAAGTTAAATTATATTTTGTTCGATGTGTGCTTTATTATCGTTCGACATTTCGACAATCTAAATATGATTCGGATTGAGAACACGCCGCAGTAAAGAAGAAGCGAATCGCATAATCGAGTAAAATTAGCACAACGAAAGGTTTTGTGATACATCAATACATCTTCAATAAATAATTGATATATAATTTAATAAAACACACACACACATACACACACACACACACACACACACACACACACGCACGCACACACACACACACGCACACACACACACGCACGCACACACACACACACACGCACGCACGCACGCACGCACGCACGCACGCACGCACGCACGCACGCGCGCGCGCCACGCACGCACGCACGCACGCACGCACGCACGCACGCACGCACGCACGCACGCACGCACGCACGCACGCACGCACGCACGCACGCACGCACGCACGCACGCACGCACGCACGCACGCACGCACGCACGCACGCACGCACGCACGCACGCACGCACGCACGCACGCACGCACGCACGCACGCACGCACGCACGCACGCACGCACGCACGCACGCACGCACGCACGCACGCACGCACGCACGCACGCACGCACGCACGCACGCACGCACGCACGCACGCACGCACGCACGCACGCACGCACGCACGCACGCACGCACGCACGCACGCACGCACGCACGCACGCACGCACGCACGCACGCACGCACGCACGCACGCACGCACGCACGCACGCACGCACGCACGCACGCACGCACGCACGCACGCACGCACGCACGCACGCACGCACGCACGCACGCACGCACGCACGCACGCACGCACGCACGCACGCACGCACGCACGCACGCACGCACGCACGCACGCACGCACGCACGCACGCACGCACGCACGCACGCACGCACGCACGCACGCACGCACGCACGCACGCACGCACGCACGCACGCACGCACGCACGCACGCACGCACGCACGCACGCACGCACGCACGCACGCACGCACGCACGCACGCACGCACGCACGCACGCACGCACGCACGCACGCACGCACGCACGCACGCACGCACGCACGCACGCACGCACGCACGCACGCACGCACGCACGCACGCACGCACGCACGCACGCACGCACGCACGCACGCACGCACGCACGCACGCACGCACGCACGCACGCACGCACGCACGCACGCACGCACGCACGCACGCACGCACGCACGCACGCACGCACGCACGCACGCACGCACGCACGCACGCACGCACGCACGCACGCACGCACGCACGCACGCACGCACGCACGCACGCACGCACGCACGCACGCACGCACGCACGCACGCACGCACGCACGCACGCACGCACGCACGCACGCACGCACGCACGCACGCACGCACGCACGCACGCACGCACGCACGCACGCACGCACGCACGCACGCACGCACGCACGCACGCACGCACGCACGCACGCACGCACGCACGCACGCACGCGCGCGCGCAACTCTCATGTGCATGTAGAAAAGACAGCGAACAAAGACAGTCCAAAAGTATGCGGTCGCTAAGCGCGCAACAAGGTTTTTGGGAGGAGCGTTCTACAAATGACAACAGTGACGTACGAGCGATACATAACGCTGGATTCTCGCGTTTTAGCAACCACATATTAATGAGCTGTCTCTTCTTACTGCGCGCTTATATTCGCGAGAATTGGTTGATTTTTTAAAAATTAATTTCTCGATAATTATTACGAAAATTACAAAATATGATAAAGAACTTTTCTCCTCGGTTTCACGTGCACACGAGAGGTGATACGGTTATTATCGGACATCCTGTATATATATGTATACATATACAGGGTGATTCATATAAAGTAACCGATTTAATTATTAGCAAAATTTGAAGACATAAAAAATTAGTTTATACCGACATGTTCAGTATAAAGGGGGACATCATATAGTGGAAACGATTATTTTATGAGTGGAGGCGTTGAGAACATTTCAAAGTCAACTTTATTTTTTTTAATGGATCCTTCTATTTTTTATTGCATATTCTTATAG